ATGCAGTGCGAATCTGATGAAATTTCCCAGCGTGGTATCACAGTGCAACTTAAACAGCCTGCATTGGAAATAATGCTTTTGTAGATTACATGTGAATCTATGTCGTTTGGATCGCATCTGACCCGCATAGAGTTTGCATCAGTGTGAACTGCAACTCAATCTGATCTTGGGCATAACATCACTTGGCAATCTCTGCTGTCCACATTACAGATGTGGAAGATTGGTGGGTGGATTTTCTCAGCTGTTAATAGCTAAATCTGGGGGAATGAGCCCATCTTCCAGAGGTGTTCAGAGATTTATCTGCAGTGGGGGACACCAGATATCAATCTCCTGGCATTCAGATTTAACAACAAACTGGACAGGTTTATGTCTCGTGCCAGGAATACACTGGCCATTGCAGTGGATACCCCGGTGACTCCCTGGGATCAGTTTTCTCTGATCTATGCCTTCCCTCCATTTCAACTCCTTCCTCACCTGTTACACAGGATAAAGGTGGAAGGTGTTCCAGTGACCCTGATCGCATCAGCTTGGCCATGAACTTGACACACAAACATTATAGACCTCTCAGCAACCAAGCCATGGGCTTTTCCAGAATGACTGGACCTGCTGTCTTAGGGTTTGATATTCCACCCTTCTTTATGGCTGCTGATTTTGACGGCATAGCTGTTGAAGCCTAAGTCCTGATAAACAGGAGTATCTCAGACTCTGCTGATTCAAGCCCTCTCAGGGTAGAAAGTCAACCCCCTGAAGATGCACCATCATACATGGAAGACTTATTTCACTGGGTGTGAAATTCATAAGTATCATCCTTGACAGTATGTTGTGGGGCATATTCTAGAAAGTCCCTTGCCACTTCTTACATATAAGGTTATCGTTTTGCTGGACATTACCTTGGCCTGCATGGTCTTAGCTATGCTTTCCTCCTAAAATCCTTCCCTGGTTCTGCACCAGTATAAAGTGGTGTTAAAGTGTTACTAAACCCTTGACCCTGCATTCACTATATCTGGTCCCCCATAGTACACACAACATGGAAATGCAATTACTGTAGTAAATATAAACTGCTAAATACCTTTTCTATTTAACATTATATAGCAGTCTTGTGACTTCTATCAGTGTCCAGCTGAGCACTGATTAAAGCTTGTGGGAGGAGTTTTCATTCTGCTCTGACTGTCCTATGAGGCTGCAGGACCCCTTTATTCTCTGTCTGGACAGTGCTGATTGGCCCTGTGCTGACCACATGCACTCTCCCAAAGAAAAAAAAGCTCTCTAGCAACACACACTAAACTGAGCATGCGCAGAGCGACTCCTAGAGCTCTGTACTAGCAGCAGATGGATTGGGGACAGTAGAAGGGGAGGATCAGAGAAGACAGGATCAAACAGTCTTTTTACAGTATGTGGAGTAACCCCTTAGGTTTCCACAGTGAGTATAACAGGCATGCTATACTACATACTATACAGACTGATTTTACTGATGTGGGTCTAGTAGCACTTTAAGATATCAATCCTGTTTCTTGTCTAAGGTGGTTTTCTGCTTTTACCTGAATCAGGACATTGTGTTGCCATCCTTTTGTCCTACTCCTAAGAGAAGGCACTTCATACTTTGGATGTTGTTCAGGTTGTTCACATTTATCTGAAGTCTATGAATTTCCACAGTCTGATTCCTAGTTTGTCCTGACAGATGAACCTCATAAGGGTCAAGGCTGCTTCTAAATCCACCATTTCTAAAGTGGATTCGTCAGCTCATTTCTCAGACCTATAGGATCAAAGGCAAGATTTCTCTTTTCTTGGTTCAGGCTCATACTTCAATAATGGAATGAGCTTTCTGGGCCATTCGGCAACAAGCTTCTGTTGTTCAAATTTAGAAGGCTGCTACCTGCTCTTCTTCAGTTGTTCATGAAATTCTACCAGGTTGATATAATTGCCTCTGTGGATGCCAGTGTTGGAGGAAGGGTTGTGCATGTAGCTTTGTAAGTGGGTTCCCCCCTCTTCTGTTGGTGATTTAGGCTTGTTGCTCTCCCCTCAGATTCACTGCTTTGGGGCATCATATCCAGTAATGACTACTAACTCTTCTGTGCCCTGTGATGTACGATTAAGAAAATAGGATTTTTAATTTACCTCTAAAAACATTTTCTTGACAGATATCACTCTTCTATGGCTTGTGTTCCTCACTGCTTGCTACAAAACTGAGTCTTAGCTGAACTGGGAGGATTATGCCTGGGAAGGGACTCCTGTCTATTTCTGGAGAGTGTGCTGCGTAGGGTACTTATATGTGTGAGATAGACCACTTCGGTATCCAGATTCTCTGAGCTACCATCAAGGGGAAAGGAGCCCAGAGGGCACTTAAGCAGCACTCCAGAAAGTAGAGGCAAAAACTCTAATGTAAACATGAGAGGAAAAAAAGGCACTTTTAAGTGCAGTATACCAGTTTTTTATTAGAGAAAAAATGGTTAAAAACACTCAAGAGCTCAGTGTATACCAAGCTCATCAATCAATATGGGTGTTCCACCAGGTTTCCTGTTACGGCTCACTCCAACCTCCAAACGCTGGCCAGCGGCTGGAGGGATGGATCTCAGAGGCAAGATGGCCACCAGACTTCCGGGACCAGCGTGGAACACATATGCCAGAAGTAACGTCAAAAAGGGGCAGTGTCCATTCACCTAAAGTTGGCAGCATAACCCATGCAGGAAATGACTATCAACTCTTCTATGTCCTGGGATGTACTCCAAGAAAACGATTTTACAGGCAAACCAGAAATTCCAAAATTTTCACTAGCGCTGAGCAGGAGTAAAAGAGATTAATTAAGGCACTTAAACAGGATGTATGGTCTATTAAATGTAGGATATACACCTCTAAAAAATCCCAGCCAGGATACTATCAGCATGAAGCTTGGCTGATCTCCCTGTGCTTGTGTGAATTTTCTCTGGGTACTCCAGGATCCTCCAACAGTCCAAAGACATGGTGGTAGGTTAACTGGCTTCAGTCTAAATTAACACGTGTGTGTGTGTGTGTGTGTGTGTGTGTGTGTGTATATATACAGTATGCATGTGAGACAGGGACCTAAAACTGTAAGCTCCACGAGGGCAGGGACTGATGTGAACGTATGTGAAGCACTGCAAAACTGTTGACGCTAAATAAATATACTTAGACCAGGCTCTTCACACAACCCAAACCATTCATCAGCATTTTTTGTTAAATAAAGGGATCAAACGCAATCTGAACGCTAATCCTACCATTCATCAGTGACCACACAATCAAATGCCTAAGCATTTTGTCCACAATTGACAGAGGATGGGCACAGAGCAGGGTTTTCTCAAATAAATATCTCAGCTGATCAATTACTCTCTATGTAGAATTGCAGTAAGACTGTTAACAGTACGCTTAAAAGAATTACTTCTGTATACCACATAACATCTCTATAACAATACATCTCTATAAATGCATTCAGCCTACTATAACTGTCACTTATGTATATAATAAAATTGTATGTGAGCGCAAGATCAAAAAGCAGCTGACATAAAAGGTAAAACCTCTTAAACCTCCAAACAATCCAATATATATAAATGCAGTGCTAAAAAGTAGCAATAAATAAATGATAAAAGACAATAATAAAAATGATAATTATAATAATAATAATGAAGTTAGTGGAGTGGGCGCTATGAAGCGCTAAAAGGTGTTAAATAGTGAGTCGTCATGAAATGATGTATCCAACTAATACAGTCAACTGATATAAAGTGACTAAAGTGCGTTTTCTGATAACAATGCAAAAAAGTTCAGCTATAACGGTGCTCCGTGCTGCTGATCTCTATGACGTGGACCAGTAATATGAATGCACTCACCAGAAGCGCAAAAGGTATGCGCATATATATAAATATCCAAATGTGGTCATCTAGGTCTAGGCGAGGATGGCGGAGTCAATCTGGCACACCATAGGCACACAAGGCAACTCCAATCACTCACAGGACACTCTCTGCTCCCAGGGACAGCTCCAAGCAAGCGTCAGACCACCAGATCAGTATCATCAAGAATTGGGGAAATATCCACCTTAGAGGCTCGTATAAACCAAGTCAGAGACATATGAAGCACTAATAGTGTTGCATTTTTATTAATCCAATATCTAGCAGAATAAGGTAGTACAAAAGCACTCACATGTGTATAAGAATTTGTAAAATGGTCGCTGGCCTTCTTTGCGGCGTGACGTCCCTATGGCAGGCTCCTCCCTGACACATTTCGTGCCTGAGCATGTTATCAAAGGGATGAGACAGATAGCTCATCACTTTGATAACGTGCTCGGGCGCGAAACGTGTCAGTCGCGAGCCTGCCATAGTGAAATCACGCTGCAGACGGCCGCAAGGAAGACCAGCGGCCATTTTAGAAGTTCTTATACACATGTGAGTGCTTTTGTACTACCTTATTCAGCTAGATATTGGATTAATAAAAATACTACACTATTAGTGCTTCATATGTCTCTGACTTGGTTTATACGAGCCTCTAAGGTGGATACTTCCTCAATTCTTGATGATACTGGTCCGGTGGTCTGACGCTTGCTTGGAGCTGTCCCTGGGAGCAGAGAGTGTCCTGTGAGTGATTGGAGTTGCCTTGTGTGCCTATGGTGTGCCAGATGATTCCGCCATCCTCGCCTAGACCTAGATGACCACATTTGGATATTTATATATATGCGCATACCTTTTGCACTTCTGGTGAATGCATTCATATTACTGGTCCATGTCACAGAGATCACCAGCACGGAGCACGGATCACCGTTATATCTGGACTTTTTTGCATTGTTGTCAGAAAGGCACTTTAGTCACTTTATATCAGTTGCCTGTATTAGTTGGATACGTCATTTCATGACGACTCACTATTTAACACCTTTTAGCGTTTCATAGCGCCCACTCCACTAACTTCATTATTATTATAATTATCATTTTTTTATTGTCTTTTATTATTTATTTATTGCTACTTTTTAGCGCTGCATTTTATATATAGTATATAACTGTCACCTGCTGAACTGAATGTTCCTCCAGATATCGAGCCTTGCTTTTCTTGCTTGGATAGCCATACAAACAGTAGAAACACTGCTCCAGAGCTGTCTCTAGTTCCTCTTTAAAAGGATGGGCATCTTCATTGATGGACACAGCCAGTTCTTTCAGAAGAACACGTACCTGAGTAGATTGAAAGAAAAGATAAGGTGCACAAAAACTACTATAGCACAAACAAGGCCAAACGGTGCATTTTAATAGCATTGTAAAGGGGATTTGCAGTTACAGCAAGAAATCCATTTCGATGGGGCTTCATTTTACAGAAAGAAAACTTGCAGACTAATGCTGTAAGATGAAGGGCTGCAGAAAACACTTAATACCCTAAATAAACAAGCTACACTTCCTATGAAATGGCATAAAATCAAATATACAGCACCTTCAATAGAGAAACTGAACAGATGTCCTCCTCTCATATCCCCTTTGACGCTATCCACCAACCACTCTACAGCCAAATACAGGGAGAAGAGAATCCAATCTCGGAACCCTTACCGATATAGAACATGTATTACCTGGTACCTACATCCTTAACCATAAATATCAAAACAAAACAACCCTAACAAGAAAAAGGCTATAGGACTTTAATGGTACTACAACTCCACATATATAAAAAAATATCCAATTTTATTGATACAAATGTTAAAACATTAAGGTAAAATAGATCAGAAATTGCTCATCATATATAGCTTATAACATTGAATAAGAGGTTTAACTTGATGTAATGGATTACAATGCTGATGGCTTGTTGCTTCCTCTAATGTGTTTCACTGGTCAAAAGTCCGCTTCATCAGGTAGTTCTAAAGTAACAGAAGCTCTGAAATTTAAAACAAATTATCAACACCAATAAATCAGATTTTAGCATAATTAATCCATTTCTGAGGTTTGTAACAATTGTCATAACTACATAGATGAGAGCCTTGATCATAAAAACAGTGTAGTAGTATAGTAGTATGACAAATGATTGAGACCCGCATGGAGGGAATAAATCCATAAAAACCTCAAGATGTTTAATAAAGTTGAGGAAGATTGTTGGGTAGAGTTAGATTTTCCGTATATTCCATTGAAAATAGCTGTAAAAAGATATGCATATGCCAATAAGTATATCCAGTCGTATGTTACGGGGTAAAGCTCGTCATATAGAGAGAGTTAGTGCTCCCTACATTTCCAACTACACCCCTACTCCTCATGGATAAATATATTAGAGAAAGGGGGATTTTACATAACATAAATTAATAGATGTAACTTAACAAGAGAAATTTAGCAGACTACGCCCAATTTCTAAATTCATGCCAATCAGAACGACCTTGAAATAATTATAGTATAATCCATCATTTAAAAAAATAATCAAAAGATTAAACATCATTTCATGAAATAAAGTAAAATAGTTACATAGTAAGTCTGGCTGAAAAAAGACAAAAGTTCATCCAGTTCAACCAAAAAAAAGTTATAAGCCTATACCCAACATTGATCCAGAGGTAGGCAAAAAAACCCCAGCAAAGCAGGATCCAATTTGCTCCTGCAGGGGAAACAATTCCTTCAGGATTCCCTGAAAGGCAATGGGATAGTCCCTGGATCAACTTTACCTATAAATGTAGGTATCCAGTTATCTTGTGTGTATCTAGGAAAGAATCCAGGCCCTTTTTAAAGCAATCCACTGAGCTGGCCAGAACCACCTCTTGAGGGAGTCTATTCCACATTTTCACAGCTCTTGCTGTGAAGAAACCTTTCCATATTTGGAGATTAAATCTCTTTTCCTCCAGACGTAAAGAGTGCCCCCTTGTGCTCTGTGATGACCTCAGGGTGAATAACTCTACATCGAGTTCACTATATGAACCACTGATGTATTTATACATGTTGATCATATCCCCCCCTTAATCTCCTCTTCTCAAGAGAATAAATTCAGTTCTAATATTTCCTCATAGCTGAGCTCCTCCATGCCTCTTATCAGTTTGGTTGCCCTTCTCTGCACTTTCTCCAGTTTTTCAATCTTCTTTTTGTGAATTGGTGCCCAAAACTGAACTGCATAATCTAGATGAGGTATTACTAATGATTTGTACAGGGGTAATATGATATCTCTCTCTCTCTGGAATCTATACCTCTTTTAATACGAGAGGATTCTGCTCACTTTAGAAACCGCAGCTTGGCATTGCATGCCATTATTAAGCTTATGATGTACCAGAACTCCCAGAACCTTCTCCACCATGGAGAAGGATCTTCATACCTATAAGGTTTAATGCCAAGGGCAATGATCATGTATTCCCTGGAGTTTCCAACTTCCTCAACTAATGAACATTTTGAGGTTTTTATGGACCTATTCTCTCCATGCGGGTCTCAGTCATTGGCCGTACTACTACACTGTTATGATCAACTCTCTCATCTATGTTAGGTATGACAATTGTTACACACCTAAGAAATGGATTCATTATGCTAAAATCCAATTTACTGGTGTTGATATTTTGTTTTACAATATCTGAACATTGTTTTACAATATCTGAACATATCATCAACCTTGGAATCCATTACATCAGGTTACAATTCTTATCCGATGTAATAAGTTGTATATGATGAGCAATTTTTATCTATTTTAACTTCATGTTTTCACATTTGTATCAATAAAATTGGATATTTTTATATACATGGAGTTGTGGTATCGATAAAGTTCTATAGCCTTTTTCTTGTTAGCATGGTTTTGCTCGGATATCCACCAACCATATGGATGCAATACCCCAACCATTGTATAAGTCTACCTATACCCCTCTAAACAGCTTACGAGGTGTGAGAACATCTAGATTTTCTGGATGGCCTTGCTCTTCCTCAACTGCAAGCAGCTGAAAGGAAGTTCCTTAATCTTCCTATTACCTTAGAACAGGCATGCTCAACCCATGGCCCAAATGTGGCCCATGACCTCAAACCTATGGCAACCTACACACCCTCCTTCGGGTGCACGCTGCTCTACTGAATGACTGCCAGTCCTCCATAATCTCAGCAGTTGTCATACGGAAGTCGCTATTGCGGCCAGCTCCTGACTCTCCTCTTTTATTCCTAACACACAGACACAGGGAGAGGAACCTTTAGCCGAGTGGATTACATCTAGTGGCATCCATACGGGGGCTCTGAAGGTGGATTCCAACAGTTGTATGTGGACCTTGGTTACATTCCGGGAGCATGTGAGTGCATTATGTGTAATTTTATATTTGCTTAATAAAAAGGTTTATTGCACTATTAGGTCATGCGCTTCCCTGGTGTGTTTTTTATTTAGATTGTCCACAGTCCCAGTTTTGTCAATTCAAGGGATAGCTGCAAAGACCCTGATAGAGTGAAGGCCTGTTTTTTTTCATGAGAACGTTGTCTACGGCCAATATATTGTGATATATTGTTATTGCGCCATGTGATTATGACTTGGTTCCACGTAACAAACAATATGTATGTGTATACTATTTAATTTTATGATTACAGTATAGAAACGGCTTATCCTTCTCTTCTCCTGAAGAAGGAATTTATTTCCAAAACACGTCGGGTTCTATCCGAATGCTTCATGTTAGAGCCATCAAGCCGTACGGGGCAGCTTATATTAGCATATCCTGGACAGTTATGGTACATTTTGACTGTATTCTGTAACATGTTGTTTCTATGTATCAATATACATTGATTACAGTGAAGGAGATAAGTACTTGATCCCCTGCTGATTTTGAATGTTTGTCCACTCACAAAGAAATGATCAGTCTAAAAATCGAATGGTAGGTGTATTGTAACACTAAGATACAGAATAGGAACAAAAAATAACAAAAGAAATGCATGTCTAACAAATTATGCACAGATTTGCATGTTCATGAGGGAAATGAGTATTTGATCCCCTATCATTCAGCAGGATTTCTGGCTTCCAGGTGTCTTTCATACAGGTAACAAGCTGAAATTAGAAGCAGTCTCTTAAAGGGAGTGCTGCTAATCTCATTTTGTTACCTGTATAAAAGACACCTGTCCACAGGAGCAATTAAATAATCAGATTCCAAACTCTCCATCATGGCAAAGACCAAAGAGCTGACCAAGGATGTCAGGGATAAGATTGTAGACATACACAAGGCTGGACTGGGCTACCAAACTATCGCCAAGCAGCTTGGTGAGACGGTGACAACAGTTGGTGCAATCATTCGCAAATGGAAGAAACACAAAACAACTGTCAGTCTCCCTAGGTCTTGTGCACCATGCAAGATCTCACCTCGTGGAGTGTCAATGATCATGAGAACAGTGAGGAATCATCCCAGAACTACATGTGAGGATCTGGTCAATGATCTCCAGGCAGCTGGGACCACAGTCACCAAGAAAACAATTGGTAACACACTACTCTGACAAGGATTGAAATCTCGCAGTGCCTGCAAGGTCCCTCTGCTGAAGAAAGCACATGTTCAGGCTCGTCTGAAGTTTGCCACTGAACATCTGAATGATGCAGAGGAGGACTGGTTGAAAGTGTTGTGGTCAGAAGAGATCAAACTCAAGCTTTTGGCATCAACTCAACTTGCTGTGTTTGGAGGAGGAGGAATGCTGCCTATGACCCCAAGAACATCATCCCAACTGTCAAACATGGTGGTGGAAACATTCTGCTTTGGGGGTGTTTTTCTGCTAAGGGGACAGGACAACTGCAGCGCATCAAAGGTACGATGGACGGGGCAATGTACCATCAATTCTTGGGTGAGAATCTTCTTCCCTCAGCCAGGGCATTGAAAATGGATCATGGATGGGTGTTCCAGCATGACAATGACTCAAAACACACAGCCAAGGCAACAAAGGAGTGGCTCAAGAAGAAGCTCATTAAGGTCCTGGAGTGGCCTAGCCAGTCTTCAGACCTTAATCCGATTGAAAATCTGTGGAGGGAGTTGAAATTTCGAGTTGCCAAACATCAGCCACCAAACCTTAATGACTTGGAGAGGATCTGCCAAGAGGAATGGGCCAAAATCCCTCCTGAGATGTGTGCAAACCTGGTGGCCAACTACAGGAAACATCTGACCTCTGTGATTGCCAACATGGGGTTTGCCACCAAGTACTAAGTCATGTTTTGTGAAGGGGATCAAATACTTGCAAATCAGTGCATAATTTGTTAGACATGCATTTCTTTTGAATTTTTTGTTGCT